TATTTTGCAGATTATTTGAAGAAAGTTGTTGACTACTAATGTTGTAAAGATGAAACAACGTAAACTATTCTCTTTGTTTGAATTGTCTTCTAAAATAATATTTGGCATATCTTTAAGTGACAAGGACATGAATTCCGAAAGTAACAAAGAACACATGTCACTTGTACAAATTTGTGTATGAATTTTGATTCTCGTTAAATGATAAGAGAACATCAATTCTTGCCAGTTTTCTTGTCGTTGTGAAAATGTTCATTGTGAATTGCGATCTCAAACTTTGGTAAAATTTCACAGTATAATATATTATTTAATAAATAAAGAGAATTTTTTAGAAATACCATTTTAGAAATGCAATTTTTCAAAATTTTTATAAAAGTATCACTTTTTCAGAATCATTTACTTAATATATCATTTATGTTTGGATAAACTATGTTGTATTAGGGAGTTATACCTAACCGCTAAAGACGAAATATCTCTCTTGAACCTCGATTTCCACCGAACCGGTGGCTGGTGGCTCCGATAGCACCGGCACCAGTCCCTTCAGTTTCATTTTGGCTTGTTAATCATCTTCTTTCATTATCTTTGGTTTGTATATAGTTTTCTGCGGTGGGTCTTTGCTCGACAAGTCCCGTTTTCACCAGTTCAAATCAATTTCGTCGCCGCAAATGTTGGGTTTCAGCCGTTTAAAGATGCCGAGGAAGGCCTTCTCTGTCGAGTCGGTGGACTTCAAGTTGTGGGTTCTGGTTTGGTCTCTTTAGGCCGTTAGTTCCGAGTAGATATGTCCACCTCGCCATCGGTTGGTTTGTTGTCTCTCCTTTGCTCTGTGGTTGCTCTCCTTTAGTAGGTGTTTAGTTTTATCGTTCTCGCATTCTATATGCTTTGGTTTGGTTGATAATTTTCCTATGATTAAGGTTAAAGGCCGGGATTTTTGATTTGAGTTTTAGACATCCATTGGGTCATCTGATCTCCGATTACAAAGCTGTTCGATTAACTTGAGTTCTTTGGCAAGGTTTGGATCGGGTCCTTAAGACTTTGTCTCACCCTATCTCGTTTTGAATGGGGCACGAGCAATAGAACGGGATAAGGTTCTCTATCTCTCTTTCAAGACGAATAAGGCTCTATGGTTTGTCTCCTATCTTCATTCCTTGGATCAGTCATCCCTGGTTATCGCCGTCTTCCTTTGGGTTGTTAGTTTTCTTATTCTAGAGTAGTTATGGTAGCTTAATTCTAGCTTGTTTTCTTGATTTCTCTATGGACTTCTCTCTTTTGGGCTTTGTTCCCCTTTTTAGGGCTTCGCTCCCCTCTTTTGGGCTCTGCTCCCGTGATTTCGTTTAAATCCGCCGATTTGTGTAATACCGCTTGATGAATGTTAAAATATAATCTTTAGATGGAAAAAAAAACTATGTTGTATTACGATTTAGTTTTGAGGATTTATGGTTTGTTTTGGATCAATACCTTTTATAGGGTATAGAATTTTGAGATTTTGAGTGTAATTTTTTTTTAATTATTGGCATTTTGCAATGGACAACCTATAATGACATTTTTTAAAATATACACACCAAAAATGGTATGTTTGTAATTACTCTTTTGATAAAAGGTTAGGTTCTAGAATTTTGAAAACATAAATCAGTTTTTAAATTATTGAAAATTTTTAGATTATTAAACAATATCTCTCTACTTATAGATATGTCCATATGACAGGAGCGTCGCCCTAAGAAACTCTCTTAGACCCGAGTCCCAAGGCAGCCGCCGCCGTGACGCTTCACCGCAGATCTGATGGCTCCTCGGTGTTGCCTCCTTGCTGCTCGTGCCTCTGTTTGAACTTTCTGATGTGCTAGTTGATTAGCCGGTGAGACTCTTCCTCAACTTTCGCTCGTTTGGCCATAGTCGACGGCGAGAACCTTTCATCTTCATCTCGACACTTGTTCTCCCCCATGATGCTTCAGAATCGTTTTCTCATGTCTCCGGCGACGATATCTCTCCCATCGATTATCTCCACACCGATGAAGTAGTCAAAGCCCTCTTGGATCTCGTCGACCCAATATGCTCTGATGTTGCCGATGAAGATGATGTTGCAACCACCAGATCCACCAGACCCGCCGGACTCTTAAGACCCTTCATCTCCCTGTCGATTCTCAACCTTTAGCTCGCAACAAGCCAGATCTAGCCCTCTATTCTCACGCGAATTCATCCTATGGTCCTTTGCTCTCTCCTCCGCCGAGCCTTCAAAGAAGCTTGTCCTATACATATGCATCGACCAAGATCTAAACCGCTGGTCAAGTGAGCTTCTCCGGCGAGGATGTAACCTCTACTCCGACCATCGCCATTGTTACTTGCTCATCTCCAGATTACATTTTGCTATGGGCCTGACCCATTATGGTTTTTGGGTTCTAACGTTCACAATATTTGGCCCATCATCCTTCCCTACTCGACCAATGTTGGATACTGACTTTGCCGAGTCTACCTCGGTTTCTTCAGAGCTAGGCATGGAAACTTTATCAACTTTCTCCTTTCTTAAGGAGAGATCACCTCCATCTGTCTCAATTAGTGTCCAAGCATGGTTTTAGCAGGGGTTGGGTCTGATTCATGAGTGTCTCTTGTGTCAATTAACGAGCCTATTATTCAATTCCAAGTTTTTGGCTGAGCTCAGGAGAAAAGCAAATTTTTCTCGATTTTCAAATCATGTAGTTTTTATTGATCATGATATCTTTTCTATTGAGAGAAAACCAAAGTTTTCTAAATTTTCAAATCATGTATATTCCTTCTTGTGGGAGAGAATTTGTCCACCTCTTCTTCTCTCTTTCAGAATAAGAGCCTCCTCAGAATCAAAACCGAGTTTCTCTCTAACCGTTTTGTATTCTTGTGTAGCGGTTTATACCGGGCTTGAAGATGCAATCGGAGATATGGGTAGTCTTGCAACGTCACGGCTCAATGTGA